AGGCTTTGATGAAGGCGATAGCGCCGAAAAGCCAGCCGAATAAAAATTGTTGGAGCACCTTGGTACCGGCTGTAGCGGTACATCACAGAATACGTAAGAGGATGTCAGGGTTCATAGAAAGTCGAACATGGAAGCTCATCAGGAAAGGAAAAGTCATAAGTAAAAAGTTACGTGATCCCGCGAAGGGAGTTGACCACTAGCTGACCACTACCACACTACTGTTTGCTTTTCCCTTACCTACTTTCGTTTTAGCAAACTTTTTTGATAGACCACGTGGGTGCAAATGCACTCGAGGGGAGCTTTTTTGTTACTTCTGACAAAAAGGAGCAGTAAACAAAGAAGAACCCTCAAGTAAGGGGACTGGGAAGGGGATCAGGCAAACCATTTTAGGCTCTTTATATTTTCCTTAGGTCTTCTCAGAACTCGATGGGAATAAGAAGACCTAGTAAGAGAGATTGCTTCTAGCAGCGCAGCATTGGGAAAAGAGGTATAGCTTCAGGGAGAACCCCATCAGGGGTAGAACTTGACCACTGAAGACGGGAGTCATGTTCGCTCTATTGGGGTCCTACTCAATCATTGGAGAAAGATGGAGGGACGAGGGGGATGTGGTTGATGGGGGCAGTATCTGATCTTGACGAAAATCCTTATCCCCGATTAGGAGCGTCTCAAAAGTCCTACACAACTACTATTTTCGATAGGTGATATTAGAAGCATGTCTTGAAAACTAGAAAAAGTGATAGGGAGTTGCTAAAATTTAGGAAGTTGGTTGGTCGCAAGGGGGAAGAGAGGTTTTACTGGAGAAAGAAGCTTGGAGTGGGGGAGGGGGATAGTCTACCAGCGCCACTTCTGATCCGGATGCTGGACTCATTTCGATACCGCTTCTTCAACTACCTATAGAGAATCGCAAAGTAATGTCATTTTTAATCTTCATATTCAGAAGACCGGCACACTCACAATCTAACTGCAAGGCCGAAATCAGCCATGCAGCACATTCCGGGTCGTTTGACGATGATATTCTTTGATTTGATGTCGCGATGGGCAATTTGAGGCTTCCGTCGGCTACCCGTTCCCTATCACGGAGGCGTGAAGATGTTCGATACCGCAAATGGAGCTGAAAACAGAGATATCATCAAAGCTTCTTAGGCTCTTGGAGAGTTAGCTCAGCTTGTCGGAAGAGCTTTATGTTGTCACTCTGGGTAGAGCATCGCTGATGCTCAGCATGAGCAAGCAAAGTAGCAAGATTATCACAGTGGCAATGTAAAGAGCCTTTTCGTATAATTTCGGTATTCATTGAAGATAGTTACATACGCAAAAGTGTTCTTATGCTAAGTAGGCTGTTTAATTAATTCTGCCAAACGAGGTTTTAGATGAAACCTTCACACCGTTCGGAGCTTAGTTCACGCTGTGTGTCAGTTGAACCAGTAAGGACGAAACTATTCTTCGTAACTATTCTTTATCTTCGGCACTATTTCATTTATTTATTTATTTTTACTATTTCCGAAGATAAAGAATAGTCACGAAGCAGAAGTGATCAAACATTCGACATCATGCCGAGGTTACAAGAAAGGAGAACGTAGAGATTGCTAAGCAGACTGATTTCCTCGTAAGAAATCTAAAAGCAATAAAGCACTACGGTGCTAAGGTAGAGAAAGTGTTCCAAGATTCACTGCCGTCAGGAAAGTATCATTGAGAGAAGTAATCAAAGAATGTCTTCGATATCGAATCCTAACAAAGCATTTCCCACCTGTAAGCTAACTGTAGCGCTTCTTGAGTGGTCAGAGCTTGCTCTTGTTGAAGATAGTCGTACAACGATCCAAGTGGATGATAGTCAGTCACCAGTATCATTTGAGTAAATGAATCCATACTGAATATGTCGGCAGCAACAAACTCTGAACGAAAAAAGAGACTCACGAACGGGTCATTTAGCATTTTTCAGCGGCTAGTTTAGCTTTTTTAGTGTCTACTGATTTCAGTGGTAAAAGTGAACCATCTTGATCACAGGAACATTACAGGCCTTTAAAGGGGGAGAGGCTGTAAATGCTTTGTTGAGTACCATTTGGTGCACCACTGATAGCCAATTGCTCTACACTTTTACTAATGGTAAGCGGAAAATAGTTTTTCTAGGCGCAGCAGCGGCACCTAGCTAACCACTCAACCTGGTGGGCTGCACAAATAGGATCGCGGTCATCGTTGCTCACTAGGGAAGGTCGTCAGGTCGAAGTGGCCATTTGTAATGAGATGTAGCTCACTAGACGTGGTTTTGGACGCTGATCTCGAATCTGCCTTCGAAATTTGCAGAACGATTCTATGAACGGAGTTATGGAGCTTTTTCCACCGCGTTTACCACGCAACAGGTCGTGGGATCGGATCCCTGCTGAGCTTAACTTTTTTGCTTCTTGTGCAAACGTGGCAAAAAGTGGTTGTGGCGTCACTGCTACATTAGCGCTCTCCTTGACTTGCCTGAAAAACAGTTTGTGTTCGCTTACTGGCGCGCTTAGTGCCTTATGTGCCCTAGTGCCTCTAGGAGAATTTTTGGATGTACAGGTGCCCTTGGCGCGGAGTGCAGGCGTTTTCGCGCTGAGCGAGTGCCATATTCTTGTTTATCGGAGCGAAATACGCCTAGGTGAAGGTTTCTAGCCGAATCTGGCGTTTTGACCTCACTTCGACAAGTGAAGCATCCATGGGTTAGTTCATTCGATGTTCACACCTATTCCACTGCAGATACATTCTCCTGCGCAAAGCCTCGTCTTGCCATTTCTTACGCATTCATGTTGTTACTGCTCCAGTTTTCCTGGTATCTAAAAGCAAATTCTGTCCAAAGACAAGAGACTGGCCCTGGAACTATTGGTGACCATCATTCGATCAACTGCTACCGCACTTTTCATTGTTAGGGAAATCTCACTTCTGGCTAGAAAACTGTCCCCAAGGTAGTTTTACTCCCTGAACACGAATATGGCATCCATTTGACGTTTGATTGTTTTCTAGACTTAAAAGAGACATTCCCCACAAAATGCAAAACAAGTTCCCCTCCATCTGAACCCTTCATAGCATGCCAGCGAAGCAGGACCATTACCACTACTCCATGTCACCGTTGAACGAAATGGGCCTAATTCTATCAAACCTTCATAATTCCTCCATAGAATCGTTCTGCAAATTTCGAATCATTAGGAATGGCCAGCCGACCTGACGACCTTCCCTAGTCAGAATAGGACATGCTCTTTAAGTGGGACCGGCCCTGGAAGCACTAGAAAAAATGTGCTGCAATGCAGAGTCCAGCAAGTTTTTTCAGTTTCTTTTTTTAACCATGTGGTGAGTTCGATGAGTTTTTCCTCCTCCTAATTATTCAAGTAACGTATGAGTTGTTTAGGGATGGTGTAATGACAGGCCGTACCTACACCATGCCCCCCCCCCTCACTCTCCGTAATCAAATCCTGGACATTTCCACCGAGGTTAACCAATCCTTCCAACATTCGATACCTGAGTCGCCTTAGAATGGTGACCCCGTTAAATATTTCTGCATTGCGTTCAAAACGCTCAAGCTCCTGAAAGCAACTGGAATGTGTGGCGCATCCTAGACGGAATTTGATGGACGCCAAAAGCTCTAACCAGCTCTTTCATGTTCAAATATATTTAAGAGACCGAGAGACATTCGCAAAAAAACCGTTTTAGAATGCTGCGACTAGAGTGAAGACAGGCCCTGTGCATGGAAATTCTACCCTTTCAGGGAGAAAACTTACGCAGTATGTTTTCATGATTGAGCATTTGAGTTTCATAGATCTCCCGTTCGTTGTTCCACGAGTCTTCTTCCGTTGTGTAGAAAGTCTAAAGCAGTCACAATTCAGCAAGATCTCAATCAACTCTTCGTTGTTAATTAGTAACCTTGACAGCAACAAGGCTTCCTCGGAATCTCGCCAAACGGACTTCACCATATCTGAATTTTTTTTCTTATCAAACAGCCAAGATCACTTCAAACCACATCCGTTTTGTGCGAACCTTCCCTTTCCGATGACTTTTTCAATGACAAGATCGTTCGCAACTGTCCTTTGCACCATAGCGGTATTGCCAGAGCCGGAACCGCTTCTGAAACTGCCTGTCTGGAAGAGAAGCCTGCGAAACTAGCG